TGAGTCATTCTCGATCAGAAAAGTGCAATACAGAATGTTTTAATCATTTTTGTTTCTTCAATTATTTATTTATTTTAGCGAAAACAGAGAAATGCAATACAGAATGTTTAATAAATTTTGTTTATTCAATTAATTTTTTTTATTAAAACTTGTAATCATTTTATGAAAAAAGAGTAAGAAAGCAATTCTACTCGAATGGATTAATTTCATTCGCCGGTCACTATAATTTGATTTGATTTTCTGTCTTGTACATGAAATTGTGTCAATTAAGCCTCCACACTTTGACTTTATATCAAATAGATCACTATATTTTAAGTTCTCAATTTAAGTTTCTTCCTTCAATTGTTAATTCTAAACACTAGCATGGCTATTACCAGTGGCAGATCCAGGGTTGTTTGTCGCTAGAGCGGCCATTGACCATTTATTGTCGACAGTCAACTGCCATAATACCGATTGAATACATGCCCACCGTTAATCGGTGCTTAACTGAACATAATTATGATAATGATATACACATATTCTCTAAATAACACTCCATTTAATTAATCTTTTTTCCTTTACTCAACTATTCATATAGACGAAGTTTTAACTAGCACACTGCCATGCGTAAACGCAGTGTATTTATGAGTGAACAAGACCTATTATCAAAACATTAAAACAAAGGCAAAAAGAAATACAGCGGTTTCATCAACGTTACTTTATGAATATTCTCTCTACATCCTAATAAACAATACCTTAAGTGTTGCTATATATATATATATATATATGTATATATATATATATAATTTGGGTTTGCTTTTGTTATGTAAAGTTCAAGCACCGTTAATTTCAAAATCAAGGGCGAGGAAGATGGGCCATGAACCATACTATCTATACAGTTTCCTTGACAGATTGAGTGTATCAATTATCCGACAATAGGAGTTGAATGGAGTGCTTAGATATGATTGACAAACAATTTTGAAGTATGTGTAATCAACACCTAAAAAGTTTCAAAGGGTATTCGGATTTCGAATTTCAATTTTCAGTTTTACCAGAAGTTTTCTAAAATCAAATTATCATTCGGTATTGCTCATAATAACAAGCAATGATGCTCTGGTTAGGTCAAGGGGTGACGTGGAGGTGTCGGGCTTGCCGTCTATGGATGGAAAATAAAATGCAACAAGATCAAATTTTGGTAGCTGGTTTTGTAGTGAATCTGTAATTCTAGGTGAATTGAGAATTTCTGAGAAACTAGAACAGTAAGTTTATGTATTTTGTGAAAGATTAGCTTCCCCTAACTTGAAATTTTGGGGGACGGGGAAAGTAGATGAGAGAGAGAGAGAGAGAGAGGCTTGCGCTCCTACCATTAGTGATATTTGAAGGACTATGTTTTGATACAAAAAATTCAAAGATGCCTCAGTTTCTAATAATAAGATATGTACCATTTTCAGAAATTTGGAGTTGTGAGATACAATTGGAACTAGTAGGAACTTTGACTGAAAAAGAACAGCCAAATAAAATTGGTGCACATTCATACCATTCATGTTAAAAAACAAGTCAATATGCAGTAACCCGATGATAGAAATTACACCACTTCTTATGAATATTAAAACAAAGAAAATATGACAAGATGAAAAGAATCATACAAGAACACAAGATTTAACGTGAAAACCCAAATTCGGAAAAAATCACGGGCTAGGCAGAAAATTCATTATAATCAATAGCAAAGAAGTATAAAAGGATTTCACAAAACTCTCAACATATCTCAAAATATGCTAGTCTCTCTCTCTCTCTCTCTCTCTCTCTCTCTCTCAACTAGATCTTCTCACTTTGACGTTCTCTTTATGCTATATAATGTCTTGCTATGTTTTCTTAAAAGTTATTAGGGTCCGTTTAATAGGCAAATGTGGAAAGGAATTCTAATTCCATGTTAGTTGAAAAATAAAAACTCACCAAATCCATAAAAATTCGTTTTCAATAAAAACAAAGAAAATGCAGATTAAAGTGGTTGTACATTGGAATTCGGTTTCCATTTCCACATTGTAATCAAACGGTCAAAATGAAATTCGTTTTCCCCGAATGTGATATTTTCCATGGAATTCGTTGCAATCAAACAAGATCTTAAGGTGTTACATCACGTGGAGTATTTATAGGAACATAATACAATTGTTTTAGATGAAATAAGATACAAGAAACGAATCATAATCGAAAAAGGATTCTCTAGCCGGATAACTCTATCGCTCAAGCTGCAGGCTCACAAGAAGCGAGCTGCAATCGGGCGCTCATGGTGCAGGCGTTGCATCTCGAACCAAATTTCACAATTTCTTCCGTTATGGGCGCCTAGGAGTCTCAAACCAAGAGCTTGGGCGCTAGTTTGCTATTCAACATCCCAAAACCAAGGTTTCAATTATTTAAAGTCAATTTACCAATCAAACTTCCATCCTTGATGAACTTTAATCCCTTCTTAACCGGACTTCCAAATTAAGAAGACTCTTGTTCTTTTTATCAATTAACCAACCAAATCATAATCCTATGAATTTGGTTCATAATCCAACAATATCAACCTTATATAAACTTCAATGCTAGGAATTATTCTTCAAGCAATTCTCTAAACAAAGTGTTCCAAGCACAAACTCCACCTCTTCCATAATGCCCCTCGGGCTTACTTAGCAACTGTGAACAAAATTCTAGCCCTGCTTATTAGCAGAACTACATTGGGCCCCAAACCTGCTTGAATCATTTCGTTTACTACCAACTCTACCAGAGTTACCAAACATGCTCGAATTATCTCCACGAGCAATCTGATCACTACCAGCTCCATCTAAGCCAATGCTTATCAAACCATAAGCAACCATAATAGCCTCATTGAACCTCCCCTAAGGTCTAACATCTCTTTTGGTGATAGCTACATCAACCGTTATCATAGAACCGCACAAGACATATAATTAGGACTTTCTATGTCCCTTTATTACAACTCTAGCACCCTTACTAACTTTCAAAACTCTACCTCTATCGATCTACCTATACCCCTTTAATCAAGAGTACTTAAAGAGAAAACATTTTGCTTCAACTCTGGAACATGTCTCACATCACCAAGTGTCTTGATCATCTCATTGAACATCTTGATTCTTGACTTACAAATACCAACTATCTTACAAAGTGAATTATTTTCCATTACCATGGAACCCCTTTTAACAGTTTTATATGTTGCAAACCAATCCCTATTTGAACACATATGAAAGATGTAAGCCATATCAAGAATTCAATTCTCGTTAGGTTTGGAATCGCCATCGAAACAGCCAAAAGATCTCCTTTATTGTAATATTCTTCTACAAAACAGTTTCACTAGAATTACAAGATTGTCCCTTCTGATCTGTAGCAATTACTTTATTCATGTTCTTCCACTTCGAGCAGTCTTTCATCTTATGCCCATTCTTCTAGGAGAAATAACAGACTATATCACTGTCATTAGCCTCAGACCTACCCCTTCCATGATCGCTCGAATCCTTCTCACGAACAACAAGGCCCTTTGCCCGAGCGTCGATCCGACGACCAACTCTTCATCTTCTCTCTAAAATAAATCGCGTCATAAACCTCATCAATGGTGAAAGCATCAACACTATACAAGATGATGTCCTTGAATGTCATATATGATGCGGGTAACGAACATAGCAAAATCAACCCTAAGTCCTCTTCATCATACTTGATTTACATGGTCTCCAAATCAATGACGATTTCCTTGAATACAGACAGATAATCTTCCAAAGATCCAACTTCCAACAAGCGACTAGAATATAAATGCTGCGTTAGATGTAGTTTCCTGGTTAGGCTCCGAGTCACGCATAACTACTCAACCTTCAACTATAATGCAGTGACACTATCCTCCTTTAACACACCTTGAAAAATATTTGATTTGAATGATGAAGATGTATTTATGATAGCGCTTTCCGATCCTTAAGCTGCTTCTCCTCCTGTGTCAAAGTTGAGGACTTCTTATCTAGTCCTAATAGAGAATCATCCAAATCCAATTGGGTAAGAATTGCTCACATCTTGATCTGCCACAATGAAAATCTGATGTTACGATCCAAAAGCAAAATTTCAAATTTCATACTTGTTATCTCGAAACAATCAAACCTCTTTCTGAATTGATCATACTTTAATATGAAACCAAACTGACTCTCTCAAGAACTTTGATCATTGGCTCTGATACCACTTGTTAGAAAACAAGTCAATTTGTAATAACCCGATGATAGAACTTCTACCACTTGCTATGAATATTGATGGCAAGATGAAAAAAATCACACAATTTAAAAAAATCACGTAGAGGCTAATAATTCACTATAATCAATATCAAAGAATTATAAAAAGATCTCACAAGACTCTTATTTCAAAATAAACGAG